GGGAATATTTTCAAAATTTGTACATATATTAAATCTCCAAAAATGTGCATTTTTAATGCCTGAATATTTTATTTGTCAATTACACCTCAATAAAGCTGGGGGGAAATCCTTAAACATATTCAAGTGAAAATTACATTCTATCCTTTACTACCTAAATTCAGATAAGTACTTCACTCCCTGAAAACTGATCCATTCAATTCAACTACTTGAAAGTTTAATCACCCACTCTGTGCCAGGCAATGTCTCTGAACTGAGGACACTATCTTAGAATAATAATGCAAAATTTCATTCTTTAAAGAATTCAAAATATATTGGGACGATCTGCCAAAAAATGATGACAATTAGTGCAATGAAGCGTTATGATAATGGGCTCCCCAAGGGGCTGTGAGGGCCTGAAGAAAATACATGGTCACAGCACTCCCTGGGGAGACTTCGTAGCAAAGGCGAAGTTGGTGTGGTCACATCATCTGCTCCATAGAAGAGAGGGCAATTCCAGAAGTAAGATAGCTCATCAGAGTACTTATGGACTAAACAAATATATATTTCTGTCACTGGACAGGTCAGGAGAAAGAAGTGGAGGGTGACATTGGAAAGGAAGGATGGGGACGCCTGGATGAAGGGTCTTTGTTCAGGGAAGGGTCTTTGAGTCCTTTAAGTATATTCTTTAGGTGATAATGGTCTACATGGAATGTTGGGATAATGAGGGTCTAACTCATCACCCGAGGAAGCACAGGGCACACACACACCAACCCAGGACTCTAACCCCATATGACTTGTACCTCCATTTCCTTCTCTTCCCTGTCTGCTGAAACTGTTCACACTACAAAAGTGCTGGGCCAATCACCAGAAAATCTTAATAATCAATTTATTTTGATAATATTCACTTTAGATTCTTTTTGTAACTAAAATTGGTCTTTCTGTTGATTATAATACTATCTTATCTTCCTTACATTCCTTCAAAATGGTGGCTATTTTCTCTTTCATATTTCTTCTACCACAGGTCTGATATAATGGGGCATAACTTCTTTTATCTTGTTAATGCCACTTCAGGATCATTGTTCCACACTACTTCTTAGCGACTCCAAGCTTTGATTCTGATTTTGTCAGACTAGTCCATCCACTATATTATTGCTGATGTCATTTAGTTAACCTCATGTAATTCTCCCTATTCCTTGTTGTTTTTATCTCCTAGTTAGACCCCAGTCCCTTCAATGCTACTCATATTTAATTCTTGGTGATCTCAGTAGTCATACATATAATTTTTCCAGTGGTTTAGCCTCTCAGTTATTGGATCTTCTTTCCAATTAGTTGGTATTCTGTTCTAACCTAGAGACTCACTCCCATGGGTTATATCTTTCACATTGCTCTAACAAATCTTAGTTTCTAATCTCTGCTGTGACTACCACTGAGTATGTTTCTAGCTCATTCCCATTTACACTATGACTCCAAATATCCTTTGACCACATTATAATGTAAGGGTTGATCTTAAATTGACTTTACTGTCTTATCTTGTCACAGTCCTTTTTAATCCAATGTCATTTCTTCCTTCCTTTTGTGACATAAATACCATGGATAGTAAAAAAACTCCCTTACATACACCCATAGCTTCTTTGTTTTTCTCTCTGCTTTTCAAATTCACCTTGATTCCAAAACTGGTGAGGTCATCAATGCCACATACATACAGTTCCATAAGGCCAGAGAAGAACGACACTCCATACAGTGAATTTGTTTCTCTTTCAATTCATGATCATGAATGCTGCTGACAATTCTTTCATGTGACCCTGGTGAATTCTCGGTGCATCTTCCCTACTTTAATATGTCATACTTTCTTCTCTCACCTTTTCCCTCCAGTCTTCTTTCACTTGATGAATTTTCTATATCACTAAGAAAATTAAAGCCTTCAGAAGAGTCTTTCTCAATCATCCACCAGTACTTCTACCATTGACCAGAATCTCTGCTTTTATATGTTGCCCTCCTTCCATGCTCCTAAATGAAGACAGTGTGTTTTGTTTATGCTCTCCATCTTGGATGTATACTTTTATCTTACATATGCATATGTGAAATTAATATATAAACTTGAATCTCCAGTGAATATTTAAAAAGCATCTCTGCCCTGGCTGGCATCATCTACCAAAACAAAACGTCACTGGTTCAATTCCTAGTAACGGCACATGCCTGGGTTGCAGGTTCAGTCCCTTATCAGGACATGTACCATGGGCAACCAATAAATGTTTGTCTTTCAAATTGATGGGTTTCTCTCCCTCTCTCTCTCTCTCTCTCTCTCTCTCTCCCTTCCTCTCTTCCACTCTTTCTAAAATAAAAATAAAAATAAACTATTTAAAAATAAATTAAAAATGAAATAAAAAGCATATATAACTGAACACTCAAGAACAATCTTCTGGCAATGCCTCCCACTTCTTACCTCCACCAAGAACAAATAGACAAACAAACAAACAATTTTCTAGGGCTTTCTCCATCTCAGTGAATGGAGAAAATTTTCCCATTCCTGGGGTCTGAAAATATGGTATTGTATTTCATCTTTTTCTTTCCTCACATCTTGCATCTTGTCCTATAAGTAGCCCCGTAACCATCCTTTATAAATATATCAAGAATTTCACCACTTCTCTCTGCCTCCATCACTCTTTTATTGGTCCAGGTCACTAGCATCTTGGCACCAACTTTACAAGTTGATGCACACTGCTTCCTTGCTCCTTGCTCCTGATTGTCAAGCTTAATCACCAGATCCCTGGTAAAATATAAGTCAGAGTGTGTCCTTGCTCTGCTCAGAAGCTTTCAGTGATTCCACCATGGTCAGACTAGAAGCTTCTCTCATCATACTTGTCTAAAGTCCATGCATGTTCATAGCTCCATGCCCTCTCCAACTTCACCCCTTCTCTGATTTATTTCTTCTTATCATTTATCACTGTGTAATGTCCTGTTTTTTACTTTTTTCTTGTTTCTTTCTAGTCTCCCCCATTAAAATTTTTTGTATGGTTTGTTCTCTACTATATCATCAGAGTCTAGACCGGTGTATAGTAGGCATGCAATAAAAGGTAAATGGCAGGGATGGACTACAGAATGAGTGAAACTTTCACAGGGCTACAATGTAGAATCTGTTGTGCATCACAATACTTTGAATAGTTGTGCTGCAATTAACTATAGTAATTACAAAGATGATCTCTGGAATCAAACTGAGAAGTTTGAATTCCAACTGTACCTTACCTACTATGTGACTTTGCAAATGGAAGTTAATGTCTTTGTGCCTTTTTTCCCCTCAGTTTTAAAATGGACTTGACAATAGTGACTGACTCATAAGATTGTTGTGAGAATTAAATAAGAAAATGCAGGTAAAGTATTCAAAATGCCCAGAAAAGAATTAGTAAACTCTTAATAAAAGTAGTTAATTTTTGTTATTAAAATTAATGCATAAGACATTTCACTTTGCCTATCTTGATTTTCACTTTCAAGTAATTTTATAACAGGAGAAAATAGACTCTTCAAAATTGGAAATTTTAATTTTTGTTTCTGTTGAATACCCCTAACTTGTTTCACACCAGTATTTAATCAGTTATTCTTTGAGAGTCAAGTGGGCTCTGAAGTGTTTGAGTGACTCATCTTTGGTATGTTAATATCACCAGGGAGTCAGCTCCAGGGATTCATCCATTCCTCTATGCAGAATACTATAGAGTGATAAATATTGATTATGTACCTGGCTTTGTTTAAAAACATTAAAAATTAAAATAGCCCTGTGAATGGAATTATCATAGTGCACTATTAAAAAATGGTTGCAAACAATTTTACTTAAACATGCTCACAAAATAAAACCTTACATTTATGTTCATACATGTTCTGCTCTTCACTGAGAAACATAACCATTAGATGTGTAACAGACTCAACTCTTCAATGCTCATGTGCCTCAGCTGAATTCTGGGTATTCACAAGTAGACATACATGACTGGCCCTTTCTCATGGAATTGGCAACACGTGGTGGCCATCAACAGGGTTTTGGCTAAAGAGAGTCACATCAAGCATTTCTGAGAGTTTGTATTTAAATTGATGTCACTGTGCAAATTTACCACAGGTGAGAGAGCTGTTTTTTCTTCTTTTTAAGTGAGAAACAGTCACTCTAAGTACATTTTGCTCTGATCACCAGTGAATCAATTAGAACTTGTATTTACAGAGCCAATTTAGTTATCTAGTTACTGTGATTGCCAGCCTACACAACTGTATTCCTACATTCTAGGGAAGAAAAAAGCCTTCATTTAAAAACCCAAGTTCTCATAAAGAATATAGCCAATAACATTATGATAACTATATATGGTGTCAGGTAGGTTTTAGACTTATTGTGGTGATCATTTTGGAAGTTATATAAACATTGAATCATTCTGTTGTACACCTCAGACTAATATCATCTTGTATGTTAAGTGTAATAGATTTTCTTAATTGTAAAAATATAATGTTAGCAGAAAAAATAAATAAAAAATAATAATCTGAATTGTAGTTGGAACTCTATAAATACAAAGGCCTGCTGTTCTGGACAAGATTTGTCACTCATACACCTACATTAACTAACCTGAATTAAAGTAAGAATTATAGCTGTCCTCTATTTTTCACTGAGTTACTGTTAGAATTATGTCTAGTGTGATTGTTATAGAAGTGAGATGTTTTACATCACAGGCTTTATAATCAGAACATTTTTATTATGGTATTAGCAATTTCTGACGCTGTGCTCTTGCTTCAACTTTCATTCCTTGTTTGTCCATTTCACTTTATAAATTTCTGTGGCTTCAGTGAAATGATCACTGCCTTCCCACCTCTGACCCCTTTTTTAAACAACATATGGGATTTTCAGGTAGGGAATCTAATAATAAAATCTTGCCAAGAGTTGAAGTCAAGATTTATCCTTATTTTTCTTGGGTAAAATGCTGATAACACCAAATTGTCCATCTTAACTCTAAACTGGATTTTTTTCCAGTCAGTTTTGTCTTTTCATCACACAGGAAATGACTTGTTTCTCGTGGCGGTTCATGAGCTGGGCCATGCTCTGGGCTTGGAGCACTCCAATGACCCCACTGCTATCATGGCCCCTTTCTACCAGTACATGGAGACCAACAACTTTGAGCTGCCCAGTGACGACCTACAGGGTATCCAGAAGATCTATGGTGAGCTACACTGCTTCTGTTTGGTTAACCACACAGAGAAATCCAGAGTTCCTGCTGTGACTGCTTCTTTGAAATAGATACTCTATGTATGTCTGAGATAGAAATACTAGGGAAAAAAAGTCTGGCCTTTCAGCAAGAATCTTCAGTCAATCAAGTTTTTTTGGCAATAGTCCAATATACCTGAATATACAGATTGTAGGAAATTCTTAAATACTGAAAAAATTATCTGAATTTAGTTGAAACATGTAGTTATAGTAAAGATCTGATAAACTTTAGTGCTTAAATTCAGGTAAAAAATATGTAATAAGTATAACTAATGAAAACAGTGAAGACTTTTATATAATATTGAGACTTTAGTACAAACTCACAGGTTGTCTCTCAACCTGTGACAGTTGATATGACAGTTGATATGAGATATTTCTTAGACAAATCACTTTTGGGGTTTAGAAAATACATTTGTGTGATAGATATAATGAAATTACCTCAAAAGCATGTAATCACTAAGAGTGAAAATTAGTCAGCATGGGAATGACAGTTAACAAATGGCTAAGATAACTAACATAATTCAAAGTAAATTTCTAGTACAATTAAGTCATTTTTATTTTGTGGGTTCAGTCAGTGAATACAAACTAAGACAAAAGGAGAAAGACTCTTATACATGTTGACTATAATCTTATCTCCCTCAATAGAACCATTGACCGTTATTTTACACATAGTTGTTAAATACTTGAAATTTATCATTTACAGATAAAGAATATACTTTATTAAATTATCACATGAAGCTTTCACTTTCACAATATATATTACCTATAATATCCAGTATCTGGTAGATGTCATCTACATTTCAAATAACAGTTCAAGTTCAGTGATTTTTGTTCATTTGTTAGTTGTTCAGTTTCAATATGTCAGTGGTAAATATTCTCACAGTTTAAATAGATTTGAAAGAAACAGGTTCACTTTTGTGTTGCTCTGGTTTTGGGGAGAGTCAGAAAAGAGACATGTCTGGAACTCAGGGCTGAGTAGTCACATTGAGTGAGTATCCAGTGTAACTGACGAGCATCCTTCTTATAACTTGAATCAGTGGCCCAGACTGAACATCTGCAAAAGAATATTCTTTCCATTTCTAACTATTAAGTCAGGGGTGTCAAACTCACTTTCACCAGGGACCACATTAAGGTTGCCTTCAAAGGGCTGAATGTAACTTTAGGACTGTATAAATATAACTATTCCTTAAATAGGGGCAAGAAGCTCGGCACTGCTGCTGGGTAGAAATAAGGTGCCAGGCAGATAAAACAAGGTGGTGGGCTGAATTTGGCCCACGGGCCTTGTGTTTGCCACCTGTGTATTAAGTACAAACAGGTCTGTGGTTCTTTTTTTTTTCTTTTTAATCCTCACCCAAGGACATTTTTGTCATTACTTTTAGAGAGAGAGGAAGGGAAAAAGGAAGGGACAGAGAGAAACATCGAAGCAAGAGAGAAGCATTGATTGATTGCCATCTGTGTGCACCCGGACCGGGGATCATTCACACCCGGACTGGGATTAAACCTGCATCCCAGGTATGTGCCCTGACTGGAAATTGAGCCCACAACCTTTTGGTTATGGGACCATGCTCCAACCAACTGAGCCAAACTGGACAGGGCCTGTGTTTCTTTTTAAAAACACAAATTCCTTGAGGAATGATACTTTACATCTGTACCAAATTACATGTGTAAACTCTGCCTTGATTTCAAGCTCTCTCTTTGGAAATGCCTTTTCACATTAATAGTTTTCTAATGGTGTTTTAATCAATAGGAGTATTAGATTTGGTATTCACATGAAACTCTTCTAACAATTCATCAAAACAGTTCATTAAAAGAAAATTATGAAAGTCAGGAAAAAGTTATAAAATATAATTTGAGACATAGGGTTAAATAAAATTTCATTCACTTCTGTTTATCTTTTAGAAATATTTGCATAGAATCCTCATCCTTCAAAATCTAGGGTTAATTTTGGTGGCATTAATATGCATGGTTCCAGTATTTATTTCCCTTTATTTATTATTTAAACACCACCTACTTCCAAGAGATTTGAAAGCAGCTTTTTCGATGAGGACTGTGTTGAAGCTATAAAAACTGTCATTAAAAATTAAAAAAGAAAGTCTAGTTACTTGGACCCAGAATTGAGCATAAGCAGATTTTCTGATAAACTTGGCTATTGTTTGTTGAGTCAGACTGTTTTTTCTTAAAATTAAAGACCTCATAGAGTGAGCCCTCTGATGATGCGTGGTTGTGCTCTTGCTCTAGCTTTAAGTGAGCCAAGTTCTGTCCATGTTTCCTGAAGGTCCACCAGACAAGACTCCTCCACCAACTAGACCTCTGCCCACAGTGCCCCCACACCGCTCCCTCCCCCCAGCTGATCCCCGGAGAAACGACAAACCCAAGCCACCTCGGCCACCCACGGGCAGACCCTCCTACCCAGGGGCCAAACCCAACATCTGTGATGGCAACTTCAACACACTCGCCGTTCTCCGCCGGGAGATGTTTGTGTTCAAGGTAGGAGCTGTTTTATTTTATTTTATTTTATTTTATTTTATTTTATTTTATTTTATTTTATTTTATTTTATTTTATTTTATTTTATTTTATTTTATTTTATTTTATTTTATTTTATTTTATTTTATTTTATTTTATTTTATTTTATTTTATTTTATTTTATTTTATTTTATTTTATTTTATTTTACTTTATTTTACTTTATTTTATTTTATTTTAATAACAGATCAAAGGTCTACAGTGACTCTGTAGACAACCAGTTCCCATTCATTTTAAGACCCTTTCAGACCTTTCACAGGTTCTAAAAAGCTTCTTAAATAAATGTATACAAGGGTTGAAATGTCTAGCAGAACACAGTGTACTATTTACTTGCAAAATGCCTTTGTGTCAGCAGGAGCTGAAATGCTTGGAAATGTAAGGGTTAGGAAATGATCCATGCTAGGGACAGATAAACAAGCCTGATTCACAACATGAATAGGAGCTAACAGGGACAAAGCTGCTTGGGACGGTACCTTATCATAGTTCACATGTTGACTAGATCCCTCTCATTTCATGACCATTGCCGCATTGTATCTAGGAGGAATGCTGATCATCTTGTTTGGGGTTTACAGGTGGCCTTTGTGTTAAATGTCCTCTATGAGATCATCATTTAGATTTTTCATACATATATTGCTGTGTTCTAGAGTCTGGCATCTATACCTACCTAATTCTTAATTCTTTAATATTTTTTAAAAGATCACAAGCTTAAATTGATTTTACATTTTGCTAAGTGTGTCCTTTAATGCCATTGAGTACTCAGACAGCAACACTAATAATGTATTAAAATAAGTTACAATATTGAAAAGTTAATATAAAATAATATTGAAAAGCAATTTTCTCCCTTAATATTTGTAAACTGATCTTAAAGATTAAGAAAAATATGTTTTATGTTGGCAACAGAGTATTAAAATAGACTCACTTTTGCCAACGGTATCCATTTAAAAGTAAAATAATGGGCTCTCTTATTTGGTACAAACAAATCAATAAATAATGAAATATTGTCCTACTTATACAGAATTTCCTATCTACCAGAGGCTACTCTTTAAAAATATAGATTTCATATAATTTTTATAGAAAAAGTAGTCTACTTTCTTTATTGGATAATAAGATTTAGATTTGATAGAATATATATATCAGAGTGTTGTGCTTTCTATGACAAAAATAGATGCTCTTGCTAGAAAACTCATGAATATATCTTTAAATTCTATAAATGCCCTACAATGCTTAATCAAATATTTCCTTTTTTGTTTAAGCAGAGTAATAAATTACAATGCAAAGAGTAAAATTTCAAAAAAACTTATGATTTTTTTTGGTTTATTCTACAAGTCACCACATGACAGGTATAGAAATTTATTTCCAGTATTTTGGCTGAATTTTGACTTCCAGCTTTATCCTTTGATATCATAGTGATATCACCAAACTGTCCACCTTATCTGAAAATATAATGTGAAGTTGAGTCTAAGTTCATTGAGTCTTTTCATTGTCCCTATCTGTCCAATTAGATTCCTAATCTCAGAGGAGATCCATATCTTCATATTTAATGATAATTTTCACTAATTTTCTGCTCTGCACATTGTGGAAGCGTAGTAAGTGCTCTTGACTGACAAGATGAGGTTCTGTGGTCACTGGTCCTTCTGATCAGGAATGAATAGAAAGCACCTAGCGACTATTTTCAATATCAGGTGTGTAATAATGATTAACTTTTAATATTTCTCTAAACTCTCCTGTTATGTTGGAAATCTTCCTCAAAACTGTCTACAGGAAAGAGTTCTTATACTCTTTAAAATTATTTATTTTTCTACTGGTCCATTCTTTCTTTTTAAGAATAATTTCTGTAGAAACCATCTTCTGGTAGGTACTTCATTCTTTTCATCTTAGCTTGCCCAGTAAATTTGCATTATATGATTTCATAACCATGTATATTCATCTCTGCTTTCACATAAGGAATAAGTGCAGGAAGTTTACTAGACACCAAGCATGTGCAGCTATAACAGTGTCCCCTATCTTTATAATGCCCATGCTCTAGAAATAAAGACAAATATGAACCTAAGGTTTTGAAACATCAGGAATAAAAGGTGCCACATAACTTGAAAAGAAAGTATTGAAGTCTGATTGAACAAATCAGGAAAACTTGACTGAGAAAAGAATTATGCTGAATTTCAGTAAAGCAATTTCTTAGGTACATTAAAGAAAATGGTATTTGGTGTACAAAGAAGTTAGTATATGAGGGAGAGAAGATAGACGTGTTAACTGTAGTACAAAGTGATAAATGATATAGATCAGAAATATGTAATATTGGATCAAAGTGAAGAGAGAGTTATTGTGTGACACCTGCTCTTAGTTCATAGGGGTCATGGATTCTGGGTAACCAATATTTTCCTGGATATACACTGGGCACTTTACATTTATAATTTCTAAACCTCATAATAAAACTGCGAGATAGACAGTGGTCGCTGTTTTACAAATGAGAAAACTGATAATCGGAAAGTTAAGTAGTCAATCCAGGTGACAAGTTTTATAAGTAGTCAGCAGTTGAACACAGGTATACTTGATTCTAAAGTCTGTATTTTTGACACTAAAGTTTACTACATGAAAGATACAGGGAAGGTTTTCAAAAAAAGTAAACTCCAAACTCTATTTTTAAATAGTAAATATTCAAGCCCTGGCCAGGTGGCTCAATTGATTACAATGTTGTTCTGTGCACCAGAAGGTTACAGGTTTAATCCCCAGCTGGGGTACAATTGTTTATCTCACATAAATGTTTCTCTCTATTGCTTGCTCTGTCTCTCAAATCAGTAAAAACATATCCTCTGGTGAAGGTTACAAAAATTAAGCAGCATATATTTGGGATATATGTTTTGAGCCCCTACTGTACAGTGTTATTTTAAGCACTGGAAATGAAGCAGCAAACAGCCCAACAGGCTAGATCTGGATCCCTGGGGCTGACATTCCGGTTTTCAATGTGGCTGGGTAGCTGATCACATCACACAGAGGGTCCCCATGTCCTTGGGCAGGGAAGCCTTCCCACGACTGAACCCTCAATTCTGTTTTCCTTTGTCAATAACTTCTGCTCTGTCTGCTGCCTGGGTACCTACATAGTCTAGATGGCTTTCATTCACCTGTAATTAATGTCATTCTCCAAACTTTGCCTTTCTGCCCATCTTCTGTGCTTACATGCCTTTTTACTTTGCCTTCAGCTCAAGACACAGACTTTCTTTTTATCATTTGCTCCTTTTTTATGGTCTCCTCTATTATATTTTAGGATCACCCACTATTTGATATCACTCTTACTAATGTAGCTTTATTCCCTACTTTTCTTCACTATAAATGTATGACACAATTTAGAAACCTCATTATCTCCTCAACACTATCCAACACTCATATCACTTCAGTTTTAATACCATTCTAGTTTTTAAAGATTGTCTCTGTTCACAGCTTCCCTCCTCATGCCTTCTGAGTGTGCCAATCTCCACCCACTATTCTGCAGCCAGAATCTTCTTCTAGTGGTTTTCATATTTATTCTCTGCATCCAATCAACATGTTCATAATGCTTGTTTTCTCTAACTATGTTTCTCTGTGATGTGTCCATCAACTGGAGTGTAAACTTCTTCCGAGCAGGGTTGGTTCACTGGGCTCCACTGGGCTTGAGCTGGTAAACTGGAGTTCAGGGTAATGGTTATTTACATAAACTATAGCCAGTTGCCTGTTTATACAACAGTAACTGACCCTAATGACATTACTGAAAGTATTACATTCAACTAGTGAGTTATTTCTTGGCCAAAGATTTCCATCATAATTACTTACTTAAATTCTATATGTATGATTTTTAGGTTTAAAAAATCTCAATGTAAGTAAAACCTAATATCATCAGGCAATATTATTTTCTTATTGAAAAGGAACTTAACTTTATAACAAGAGTTTTACCATAATTCTTATTGGTAGCAAGCCTCTTAGGGAATTTGATTTACATTGAGTTCTGAGGCATTCATTTAGATCAAGCAGAAAGTGTCCTGAATCTGTGTTTCTATATGAGAATAGAAATAAAATATATATTATACCATAATCATAATGAATAATGTTCTATTCTTATACATTAGAAAGTTCAGTCTTCCTTCAGTTTCATAACCTCTGGGGAAAGAAAACCACAGAAAAGAAAGAAATGAAAATCCAAACAAAGTGTCCAGGAACGTAGAAATAAAATAGTGATAACAAAAGAAGCCTTGTCCTTACTTCAGAGGTGATTTTAAGAGTGGTCCCTGAAGAGTCTAAGCTGTGTGTACCTGTCACACAAAGCTGCTGTTGTGACTGTGCTGACCAAGTGAATGGTCTCAGAATTCCTTGCATACAAGATAAAAACATGGAATAGTTAGTTATTGTGTGATGTGAAAGAAAGAGAATGGGCCAAGCTTGCACAGAATATATTTCAGTATCCAATACTTTGCTATATGTAAATGAATGCAGTGGTACCATTTTATTCTTTAAACCAAAAAAAAGGAAGAAAAACTGTCTCCAACACCTGGATTTCTTTTAGTGAAAAAAAAAGGTCCCATTCAGCTCTTGACTAATTCTTAATATAGGGGGGACCACAGAGACCAGAGATTCACCATGATATTGGAAAGCTTAGTGTTAGGAGGTGAAGCTGTGTGGGAAACACATAAAGGTGTTTCCAATTAATCCAGAAGAGCAAAGCTCCTGCTGTCAGTGAGGAAAGTATTTCATTGTTTACACTGCCCATCCCACAAAGATAATCAAAACAACACAGAAGTCATTTGGTTCTTTTTTCTTCATCAAATTCTTTTTTGTTAATTTGTTACAAAACTATTCCTTCTTAACTATGACCATCTTCACTGATGACAACCCACTTAATTCTACCAAAGAATCACAGTTCCTGCTATTTCCATAGAAACACACTTGCCCAGCTTGGGCCTCATTAACACTGGCTGAGCTTCCATTGAAGACACAATG